AGCCATTTAAAAGCCAAACCTAATCAGATTTGTGACATGGCTGAATAAAATGTCCTCTGTTTTTCCTGCCAGGATAAAAATCAAAGTCTCTTCATGTCCATTGTGTCGCTGACAAACAGATCTGTGAAGGGAAGGAGACGGAGGGGTCGAGATGACCCTCCTTTTGTGTCTGCACAACAGTTTAAGCTGCATAGATTCTGTTTCTTTGAGCAGGGCCCGCGTCTCTGAGAAAGTAAACTCGAGGCTGACCCTCCAGGTTAGGCCGGTCTGGGATTCAGGCAAGGATCCGTCGATTCAAGGATCGGCCGGCCTCTGAGATCTCAGAGGGTCCTCACTTCAAAAGGAAGGAGGGGAGAGCACTCGGGGGAATTTTGTTTCGTCGCCAATGGGCTGCATTCTTGACCCCGGCGGGGCTGGTTAAATATCATCGATGCTTTCCTCTTTTGTCGTCACAGAGGCAAGACAGCAACCTGATGTTGCCATCATGGATCTGCAGCTGGGGAAGCCGGCAGAGTGAGCTCATTATCACGCTTTCTCCTGACCCTGCCTAAACTGACCACGGCGATCAGTTTAGGCAGGCACTGATTGAGACATCCATCTAAAGCCAGAGCACACTTTAAAAGAAAATACCTCGTGTTTGTCAACATAATGTGCTCAAATCCTCTGAAATATGAAAGTTGGTGCTGTGCAGCTTTTTTTGTTGTTTGTTTTTTGGTTTTGAAAGACAAACCATTTGTGCAATTTCCTTAAATATCATTTTATATTTATATGAAAACGGGTTTTTGGTCACAACATGTTCAACATGGAAGCCCAGGGATCCCAAGCACAGTGGCTCATTCACTTAGATCCCCAGGCGTTCCCAGGACACCAGAGAGAATATTCAAAGCTGAGTTAAAGTATTCAGAATCCTTATAGTTTAACTTTTGTTACAACTGCGAACTTTAAAGTTTCTTACTGGGATTTTCTGTGCAGCGCAAACTTGTGCATCTCTTGAAGGGGGTTTATAATTACATTTGGGTTTTACATTTTTATTCAGCAAAAATTCTGAAAAGTGTGGCAAACGTTTAGATTCAGCTCATAGCAGGATAGGAAATTGCCTCTTCCCCTGTTTTGTACTTCAAATTGTGGCATGCTGTTCATTGCAATGTAAGAACTACAGGGAATAGATAAAACTGCAACTCTAAAGTGACGCCGTTCTATCTGTGTCCCTGTCAGGTAGTACATATTAGGAGTGTCAGAGCAAAATGGGCTGAATATAAATGCATTTTTAAATTTTATTGGTAATAAACTATGGAAATTATGAATAGTTTTCTTTCCACAATTATGCAATGATCATGTAAAAACTTGACCTGAAGCCTGTAATTTGAGAATCAAATGTGTTTTGCATTAACGTATAGACCAACTTCTTTTGTATAAACGTCAACATAAACCTGATGACTTCTACAAGTAGTACAGAAATATATTATGACAAGTTTTGTCAGGTATAAGAGAGGAATATCATTATGTCTCATAGGCTTATCCGACTGCATCACCATCATCGTTCGCAGCGAAATGTGCAAACATGCTTGTGCACATTCATCCAGAGAGCTCCATGAAACTGTAATCTTACAGTTGAGAGGAGCAGCACTATGCGTGCCGCTCCCTGAGGACGACGCACTCTGACAGAGGCGCAGACATGCACCTGTATGCCTCTTTCATAAGCACATTCAGCTTCACGCTCACTGAACTCCTCAGCCCGCTCTGACCTCGCCTTCGCCCCTAGCCGCGCGTGCCTCTGCAGCCACAGCACCAAAACCCTGAATCACTCAAATACCATTTAGCGAGATTACTTTTACAACTGCAACTGTGCAAAATTGTGAATATTATCTAAAATCTCTTTACACCGCGTGATCATGCAGAAGACGGACAGAGTAACGCTTTCTATGCTCAACACGAAGTTGTAAAACATTCACTCTGTGTGAAGCTGTTGTCAGACGATTTCCCATCTCGCCATCCATGTTGGTGTCTTAACAAGCGTTAGGTGTGTCTAAGTCTGAGGACATGATGGACAATTTGTAGATTATGAAGTCCTGTCAGATGTTTTGGGTCCCAAGGGACTCAATGCTGATGGTTTCAGCGGTAATTAAACCTACTCTCCTTTTCTAATGTACCTTTGTGATCAACGCCAGTAAAATATGCTCCTGTAGTAATATGCAGTTGAAATGTCCTTCCACATCACAATGGTTTGCAAAATGTTTCTCCGATTTCACCTGCTAACTAAAGCAATATAGCTAGATAACTATATTATGTAAAGAATCATCACACAACTGAAGTTACAGCTTCGACACAAAATGTTTAAGAGTGATGACAGAACCATTTAAAACCTCACACAGCTTTCAACAACCAAACATGCAGAAAAGGGAAGGCAGTCCAACAATCACACAGAACAGAAGTCTATTGGTAGGAAATGATTGATTAAAGAAATTAATCTGAGTGTTCAAATGATAAATCACTTGAGATTCATTGCAACTGCTTTCCTTTAAGTATAAATTGAAAAAAGTAGCAACCTTTTACAGCTTATGAAACTAGCTCCCATTTTATTAACTATGGATTCTAGCAAAGGTGAACAAACTCTTTTTTTCTTGTGCATCATCAGGATTTACACCCCAGTGTATTAATTGGGCCTCAAGGCAACAAGTTGTCTGACTGAACCCGAGGAAGTGAGGCTGACTGAGCGCATTAGCTCGACTCATTCTTCGCGTGAGAAGCGACAGCCACACAGAAACTGACTAATACACTAATAACTGAGCAACCTTACAAATGACATGAAATATCTCTGAAAAAAACACCAGAGCAACAAGACAGCAGCTTGAAGTGAGGAAAAGTCACCAGATCTCTCATTAGAAGTAAGACTGGCATTCATTGGTGCATTGACGCATAAAAATGAATAAAAGTAGAGCTCAGAGTGTGTATTAGATTACACAGTTAAAATATTGGGCAACAATGGGATGCCGTATTTCAGTCAACTACTTTCTGCATAAAGCTACTGAACTAATCTAGAAGAAAAAGCAAAAAACTGGACAGCATCAGCGTGGAGACTAAAGTTCTGCTCACACCTGGTTGGACAAATGATGGTTTAAAGGTGTTTTTTGTTTGTCTTTACAATCTATACACAGTCTACAGTGAAAAAATGTGGTTGTGTTACTATTACTATAAATAAATATCACTAGAAAGTTGCTTAGAGTTGATTATGACCTGTCACTTGTGTAATTATCAGTTGTCCCACAGCAAGATCAGACACTATGAGTAAATAAATGAGAATAAAAAGGCTTGTTTATAGGCATGAAACGGAGCTGAATGGGTATGAAAGGGAGGTAGAAATTGCCAAATATTTATTCCCAATGTAAATTAAAATCTTGTTCTGATTTATTAATTTTTTCAGAAGTGTAACGAAATAATTTAAGATTTCTATAAAAGAAAGTGTCTCATCAGTTTGCCCCCATATTCAACACCATTTGCACTTTTCCTCGGAGATGTTACTGAAAGTGCCAAAATGTTCATTATAGTGGAAAAAGTTGGTGGAAAACCATCTTGAACTGACAGTCAGCATTAAAGAATAAAAAAACTAACAAGAGTTTTTATTTTTAAATAAATCATAAGTATCCCTAGATTGTGTCAGAATTAAATCAAAAAGTTGTATCTTGTCCATCTCACTGGTCTTGTTGAACATACTTTTTCACTCCCAAGTACATATGAGAAGAAAATGAGCTCTATAATTTATAAAGTGGACATGATTTCACCTCGTTTAAGACGTGAGAGTATATTACAGGTGTGGGGACTTATGAAATGAAGGAGCTACATTTTCTACAAGGAAGTTTTGGACCCGTCTTTCTCCAACTTTGCCTTCAGCTGACAGAGGAGCCCTGCTGCAGATGGAGGGCTAAGCCTCAGTGATCTCTGCTCGCTGGAGGCATCAACATAGTGGCTGATATTAGCAGGTGGCGTGAGAGTGAGGATATTAAATCATTTGTTAAGAGAGGTAAACAAAAGGCCGGCATGTAGTCGTGGTCTTGCATATTCAAACTTGGGCACAAAATAATTGTAAATAACTGAAAGAAAATATTTATGACTACAATTACAAGTTTACTCTCTACTGAAAGAGTTGGCATGACGGTTCACTGAGCCAGATAACCATCATCGACTTTAACAAGATCAACATAAGAAAATATCCAGGAAGTTGTATCATCTTTTAGAAACTAAAACGCTCCCGGGAACGTGAGCCTTGCTACTATTCCAGGTGAATTTTGAAGCAAGTCCTCCACGACTCGAGTGTCATTCGTCATTTGGTTTTTTTATGCGTTGAAGATGTTTTGTTTATTTCCAGGGTAAATTGTCACAAGAAGCCTTTCGACAAAAAATAGAGTACACTAGTTTGAATTGACGAGTAATTTTCTGAAATCCACATGGGTGAATCAGACATGCAGCCTCAAATATATCCACTAATATTTGGTTAAATTTTAGTTTGTTCATTCTTTTCGCAAACGGCATAATTCTGGGTTTTGGTGGAAATGTGAGAGTTTGTGTATTTAACTGGTTTGTTTTCTACTTAAAACTTTTAAGTCAACACCACAACTTTGGGCAAATGTGTGCTATAATCAAAGTGAAAGGCAATGTTACAGTGTGTGAACATTTTTGCTTTGGTGCCCTGGCAATGCATTTATTAAAACATGCATGTATGTTATGTGCATTCAAGAAAATAAACCACAAATTCTATTTGTGAGACCAATTATTGTCTTAAAGAAGTCCTTGAAGTTGTGTCTGAAAGCAAAATGACTCAAAAGGTAATGAAAAGACTAAATTAATAATATTCATGTCTATCACAGGTGTATATAACATCCCTCATTCCCACTTGAAATATGAGGATAAATATATGAACGTCTTCCTGAAAAAGTTAAGTAAGTAAATGATAGGAGGATGTGTGTTTGACAAGTTTAAACAGATTTCTGGGCAGGACAAACAGATATTTGTATTCATAAATTTTATATCATGTATATCAAACTAAAACTAATACAGCATCAAACTGAAAAATGTCAGAAAAAATTCAAACTAAGGAGAAAAAAAAAATAAAACTGAATCAACCTGGCGTGTGCAGCAGTGCATGTTAAAACCAGAGGAAGTAGAGAGAGACATCGAGTCCCGTCCCTGCAGCGGGCAAAACGTGGAGCGAGGCAGAGACTAAAGGGGTAAAATACAGGTGGAGATGAGGCACCCCAACCTTCAGAGGGCAACATCTAGTTGTGATATTCATTTTATTACAATCTTAACATTTCAGTTGTATTTCAAACACAAAAACCTAAAAAAAAAAGCGGCCTTGGTGTGTCAAATGAGGAAACGGGAAGAAGTCCTTAATTTTTATTTATTCTTTTTTTTTTTTTCTGTGACAAAAGATTTGTCTACTTAGTCTCTCAGCACTGTTACTGTTCTTTGTGTTGTGAGAGAGAATCATGACACAGCAGTTTGGAGTTGTGAAGTTGTCAGGTGTGTGAACAATTGAGGAAGATGGACAGAGATTCGGGGAAGGTGAAAATTTGGCTGTGTGCTTGTGACATTGTCCTTTCTTCTCTGTGCAACACCAGACTTTCATGTACCACAAAACAGGCCGTGGGCAGAACAGCTTATTTGAACGTGTGAGTTTGCGTGTGTGTGTGTGTGTGTGTGTGTGTGTGTGTGTGTGTGTGTGTGTGTGTGTGTGTGTGTGTGTGTGTGTGTGTGTGTGTGTGTGTGTGTGTGTGGGTGTGTGTGTGTGTGTGTCACTGGATGTGCATGCCAGTGTATGGTAGTCTGAGAGATGGTGGCATATGTGTGTTTGTATGGTCAGCCCAGACTGTGGGAAGGAGGGGGCCACACTCTGCGACTAGTGTGCGTCCAGCCAGTTCATTAGTCAGTGAGTGGGTTCTCTCAGCATTCAGAGGGTCCGCTCCTATTCCTTAGCCTCCAGGAAGAGCGTCTCCTGAGGAAACAACTTGGCCTCCAGCAGAGTCGACCTGGGATCCAACTGGGTGATCTGAGGAGAAACAGGTGTGGGGAACATCGGGGTGTCTCAGATTAAAAGTCCTGGAAGACGCCAGTGGTTCATTTCAATGCTGGTCAAAATAAGCAAAATTACATTAACACAATTAAAACACAAGATAACACTTTATTTGAAGGGGTTGTTCATAAGACTGATATGACTGTCATAAATATAACCAAGAACCTGTTAAGAACACAAAGTCTTTATGAATGTTGTCATGAAGTGTCATTCGGTAAATAGTGACACTTTTAATAGAAAATTACTTTAAAAGTCCATTAAAAGTGCAAAATTTGCATTGTTTGGTAAATAATGAGACTTTAATACAAAGTTGGGACTTTTAATGCAACACTATGTGGCGTCCCAGTGTTAATATTAACACTGCACCACCGCAGAACCTGGTTGGTACAGGATCTGTCCTGATAAAGCTTGAGTCTTGACATCAAATGTAAAATATGAAGACGGCATCAAACTTTTTTTTTATTACACATAAAATCAAAGTGAAATGTTTCTTTAAGTTAAAAATTTGTATGGTTTGAGTTAATTCAACATAAAAAAAATAAGTTGTCATCATTAAAGCAAAAGAATTAAGTGAGATCAACATGAACTACAGCCCAAAATATACTTTTTAGCGTGTGTGCAGAATAATACTGTCTCTCAGTGCCTATTGTGTTTACTTTTCAAACTATAACAAGTCCAAACCAGTTTGCCCTGAAAGGTGGTCCATAAAAGTTGAAAAAGCCTTGCATAGTTATTCCCATATTTTATTTCACAACAATTGAGATGCAACGGTTGTGCAAAAATAACCCCAAAAACTTTTAAATAAGGTGAACTTTTTTTACCAAGCCTCCTCTACTCTGAAAGCCCAAGATACAATCTAGCACAACCACTTGACTTCAGAAGTCTTCAAGCCAATTATTGAAGTCCATCTGTATTCTGAGTTCATATCACACATCCCTAGTTAAGATGTGATGAACTGGAAGAGGACTTGTTTAAATATGAATGCACAACAAAATGTTCATAATTTCTAATTGGGGGGGAGGAGGAAGGTGAAAACTCTTGTTTTTCATAGGCACCACATATAAATCTCAACAAAACACAATTGAATTAGAAGTTGTAGCACTAAATGTTGACTGCGAATCAGTTTTCCCACCACATCTAAAATGTTGCAGCTGTCTCTTCAGATTTATCCTTATTAAGTCAGAACTGCTTCAGCCAATTCACTGACTTAAAATCCTTCTGTGACTGACTGGTCAGAGATCTGCTGGGATTTCTACTGGAGAACATTGTAGCTGTAGTTTTATGTGTGTGTGTATTATTCTAACATGTTCACAAAAAAAAAAAAAAAACGTTTAAACAGAAATGTGAGCAGTGAGACTCCAGTTACCCTGAGAGAACGTTTTGGTTTGTTTTCTTAAAAGAGCTCCGATCCAGAACAAACTGATGAAGATTACAGGCCAAGAGAGGCGAGTGAGAGAGAAAGAGAGAGAGAGAGAGAGAATTAACCGATGTGTTTTTAAATGACTAAAAAGGACTAATTTAAGCAGTGAAAAAGGTCAAAGAATAGCATTGCTAATGGTGTAAATGAGAGAAACATTTAGCGGTGCTGAATGCTCCTCATAAAAGCAATTCTGTAGAAAGGAATAACGCCGTACCACCCACAGCGCCATTGATAAGGTTAGCTCACATAAAGGGCCTCTGAGCTGTTTTTTACCAAACAGGACAACCTGACTCGCCCTGACATCAGCCACCCCTGTGGGCCTCTTAGCTTATGTGAGCTAATCACTGGAGGTTTAGTGTTACATTGGGCCAATCTAACACCTGGGCTGAGCGGGCGAGGTGGTGTGACACTGAGATGTGTCCAGGGCTTATCTGATCACTGCTGCATCAGCCCCGTCTGATTAGGAATCCTTTCCTAACCTCGCAGCGGGATAATTAGCCGGCTCCCTGTACCTGCTGTAGAAAGGTCAGAGGGCAAGCCGAGTGCCGTAAAGGTCACCCCCCCCAACAAGTAAAGTCACGGTCTTTACACAGACAGTCGTAGGCAGAGAAATATGAGCAGTGACCGTGATCTGAGCCACAACTCTACTTATTCTCACCGACCACAGGCTAATTACACAGATCTTTATTGTTAATGTTAGAGTTGTACCTCAGTCACAGTCAGGGAGAATTTCTGGGTTAACAAATAAAAAGGCTTGGGGTGGTATGTGGATATTACTCTATAATGATCTTTAATAAAAATTATTGTGAGAATTTCAAAACAAGTTCAAACAGTGTGATCCAAGCTTTTATTTAAAACTAAATGAGGAAATATTACTTAGAAATCTGCTCATTTATTCCAGAAAACTGAATATAACTTTTCAAATCATAAAATAGATCAAATTTATTGACTGGGTTAAACATTTAGAATGAACGGCTGATAAATGTTAGCAGTACCCAAATGCATAAAAAAAAATATTCTCCTTGTTTGTCATTCTGATCTTTGTCAAGTGACACAAGCATAACAAGCAGATACTTTTAACACAGAAATTATTTTCCTATTTTCCTTTACTATAAGTAAGGAAAGAGTGAAATACCCATCGTTCAGCCAGCTGACGAGCAGTGAGAAGCAACATACTGATAACAGGTAAAATAATGTCTTAACAGCGAGGCCCAAAATTATTTTTAGTCCTGGCAGGAAAACAGAAACTGCTGTCAAATTGCTGTTCGTTTCTGACAGGCATCACCCAAAATATAGTGAATAGTATGAACTCTAATATATTTTTTAAACAATTACTAATCAAAAATTATCTATATGATTTGAAATAAACATTCTAGGCATGACAACACTAAAATCTTATGAGATTTTTGATTGTCTATCTTTGAAGCTGGAAGGTCTCTGTGCCATCACCCTAATCTTTCGGCCTCTCCACAAATTCTCCATCAGATTCAAGTCAGGATTCTACCTGAGCCGCTTAAGAAATATTATTTACAATGAGAAGAAACATGTTGTTACCATTAAACCTAAATCTGCCAGGGGTGTGAATAAATTTGGGCTAACCTGTGTAACATTTATTGACTGCAGTTTGATTTTTGATATGTAGGATTAACCAAAAATTTAGACTAAGCACCTGCTAAATAAAGTGCTAGTTTTAAAGTGTTTACAGTGCATGATATTACACGAGGATTATTGTAATAAGTCACATTTAAGGTGCTATGGACCCTTTTTTCAGAATTATTAATTAATTTCAAAGCGATATTATGAATTATAGAAAATAATTTAACAACACATCTAATAGCATGTATTTAACTAAGATGTTCAATTGATTATTTAACATTCAGGAGAAAAATATATGTTCTTTTTTTATGTAGTCGACTGTTATTTAAGTTCACCTATCATTTATGCTTTCCTTTCCTGCAGTGCTGACCCACTTTAGGTTGTGAAAGGAAGAGAAAAGAGAAAGAGGGCAAGAGACATCGGGGAAGGTTGGGAGGATATATCAGCGTGAGATAAACTCTTCATCTCCCACAGGTGTTTGAAAATGTCACTCCGTGTGGAAGTTGGAATCGTGTTTTCATCTCCTCGTCCTCATTTCAATGTGTCATTTAGACTCTTGACTCCCCAGCAGGGTTCTGGGCTGTGGAGCCTCCAAAGGTGGGAGGAGAGAAAAAAATGGCGAACAGGACCGCTGCGTTCCTTTTCCCACCTCAGGAGCGGCGCGTCACAAATGCTAATGAACCCGACAGGCTGTTGTGACACCACAGCATCAGGTAGGAGTAAATGAGGCTTTGTGGTGGAGCAGGTGTGTGTGCAGAATCGGCACGAGTGTGTGCGCGTGTGTGTGTTCTGAGAGCAAAATTGGGTGGAAAGGGTTTGCGCCTGTGAGTGCACCAGGGAGGGAGAGCAGCATCTGACTCTGAAAAAGAGAAGCAGGGAAACAACATGCCACACTGACACAGGAGACGGGCGCCATCGGTGATTGTTTACATTGTTATCCAATTAACAGACCATAAGCATGGAGGCATCTGTCAACAAACAAAGCTGTTGTTTTTCCTCTGCTCTGCGTAAGCCATATTCTCTCTTCTCCTGCCTGTGCAGCCACGCATGCATTCATAAACACATGCAGTCATACAAAACAGGACAGAGATAACATCTAACCTCGAGTCAATATGACTTTTACATCAGACAGTGAAATCAATAAGTGGAATTAGAGGCGGGCTGAATGTATGACTTCTAATTCTTCTAACAATTAGAAGAATAACATCTGGAGCTAATTAAAAATGGGAAGAAATATCCCATAAATCAACAGATTAAGAGCTAAATTAACTTTTTATTTTTAAACTTGAGATCAATTTTAAACAGATAATAAAAGAGATAAATGTGATACCTTGCATTACAAAGCCTCTCTTAAAAATTGGACCCAAACTAGAAAACAGATGGGGGCTTTTCCACAATCTTTTAATTTTCTCTCTCTTGTCTCACTTATTTAAGAAGAAAAAAATAAACAAAATCTGTGTATTTACCATCACAAGAACCGGGTGTCTCAACACAGTTAAAACCGCATAATTAACTATTAATGTGAGTTTTAAAATAAACAGCACGATTGTACATCACTGGAAAGAAATGAATAAAGCAGGCCGATAAGAGAGGAGGCGACACCGAGCAACGCTCCGCTGTGAAAGAGAAGAAAGGCAAAATAAACACTGGGCCCTCAAGATGTCCGTTTCCAGCGCAATCAGACGCGCAGCTGAAATAACGCATTTTTAATGAAGCCATTACAGGCCCTGCTATGTTAATTAAAACCAAATAACTTGTCTGTTTTAAACTAGTGTTGTCAAGTGTTTATTTGGCCAATTACAAAAGCAGTGGGAGATCATTATCTGCTGCCAGAACAGCAAACAGAGTACGGCACTTCAAAGGAAGGAGGAAAAAGACTGGACTGGGGGAGGACTGAAGATTTAAAGAAAAAAAAAATAGAAAACAGGAGGAGAGAAAGAAAGAGGAGCAAGGAGAAGGCATCTTGTTCTTAAATAATCAATGGAAAGATGAATAAGAAGTGTTTCTAAGAAGCTAAGTTTGGGGAAAGTTTAAGGGTCTGAGGAAAAAAAAAACAATAAAAGCTAAAAACTCAAGAGTTGAGTGCTTAATTTTCTCTTTACAAATGTTTAGATATTTTAAAATAACCTGCACTGAAGAAGTGATTTTTCTTCGCAATGTTTTTGTTAAAAAATATAACTGATCAAAGCAAAAACTGTTCTCTACTCACCAATAACTAGCACAATTTGTCTTTAAAAGGGCAGCCATTTTCAGATATACTTTCACACAAATCTGGTCTTTCTTAGTTGGAAATGTCGGCAACATTGCATTCTTTACTGTATTTCATGATATACAGAGTTTAGAGAATCACTGAAGACCCGATGAATCTGTTCTGCTGTTTTACTTTTGATGCACCTGATTTAAGCTGCTGTTCATCCAGAGATTCCCAGAAAATCCTGTTTCACCTTTTCATTGCAACTTTTGTCATTACCTCAATAAATACCACAAAATATTGCGATTAAAATTAAGTGATTTGGGAAGTCGCATAAGCACATTTAGATGCCATAGTCTTCACAATATGAGCCACACCATCTGCTACATAACATTTAATCACTATCAAGTTTGTGCTTTCAACTCTGACTTTGAGTTAGATGTAAATAGACTACTTATAATTTAGTGGTAATCCTACTAAGAATCCAACAAAGGTTTCTTTGGGTTTTTTTAATGATGTATGACCGGCTGATTTGGAATATTGAACAATTCAGGTGTTTGGGCTTTTTTTCTTTATAACAATATCACATAAAAAATGTGTTGCTGTTAACTTTGAATATTACATAAATAAGTAGATATTGAAGCATATGTCCCGAACCTTAAGATGACTTATTGAACCCAAACGTTTCCCATGGACATGGAAGCATTTATAGAACACAAACAGTGGGAGCTCTTACGCTTTGACATGTTCAATAAATGATGAAGAAAAACTTCAGCTAATCAGATTTTTGAGGAAAACTGTCCCATCTCTGGCCAACTGGTTGCTGCGTCTCTAAATCTAAAATCCACAAATCTTTACAAAACGCCATTTACTGGCTTCTAATCCAGAATAAACTTCCTCCTATCGCAGATTCCTCTGATAACTGTAACAATGTACCAAAATGCCAAAAATCTTTCAGCAAAGCAACAATAAACAAAACGAAATGTTGAGTGAAAAGCGATTTTAAGACCAAAATCCTTCTTTATGTTCAGAAAAAGAAACACTGAATTATGTTAGTGCTGGTGTTGATATAAGATGGAAAGACTGTTCAGAAAAAAACCCCAAAAAACAACAAACTATTAAAAGTAAAGGCTGCTTAACCTCCCACAAGTCGTCCCAGGACACCTTCAGATAACAAGAAAAACAAAACCCGGTTTTGGAGCAGATGTGAAACCTATTTCATCGCAGACAACAGCGTCTTTCTTTGTCACCACTTATTTTTTTTCCATTTCTCGTTTTACATAGGAGTCCGACGCTGGATGGAGCATGACGAGGAGGTGACATGCATTACAGTATCATGTTGAGAAAACCCAGTAGATTTGTTTGATATTGTTTGGGTTTGTGTGAGCGGCCGCACAGGAAGCGCTTATTGCAAACCGTTTTAATGGCAGCCTAAACATTTTTGCCACATGCTGAAGAAAGAGCTTTTTTTCCTCTTTGAGAAGTATCAAAGAAAAGGAGGGGAAATTCTTGAATGAAGAGCTGAAAACTGAAACACTGAGCCGCTCAACCCCCCACCCCCACCACGCTCTTCGTCAAACCCGCTGACAGTCACGGAAATGGAGGAAGGGTTAGCTCCCTGAGCACGGCTAAGCCTGGTACAAATGATGCCAGTGTAAGGCCTGCTGTAGTGCTGAAGAGATAAGCCTCTGATACCAAATGTTGACGAAGACACTGAGTCCAAAATGTGGAGCCTAATAGACACTGGCGAAGGGAGAAGGAAGGTTGCAGAAGCGTAAATCAGACATTTCTAAACATTCCAGTTATTAAAATTCAAGCTGAAACAAGGTCTGCAACGAGATACATACTTAAGCAAAAATAAAGTGAGCTTTTTATCCTGGAGAACACCATCGTAATTCAGCTCCAAACAATTTTCTAAAGTTGGATTCTGTAAAGCTGAATGAGCTGAAAAGACAGAAATAGCGAAGCAGCACAAAGAGCGACGGAAAACTTAAAGGTTTCAACAGTTGTGCGGTCTTACAAATGCAATAGTGCTCTATCCTCTATCCTCTGAGCCTGGCAGAGCAACAGTGAGAGCGTCTGGACGGGATGGGAGCTTTCTATGCTCCCTCTCATTTAATTACAACACAGAGCTGCAGGATTAGAAGGGGGCCTGTGTTCGCAGCCTCCTACTGGCACTAACACTCGGCTGCTCGCCTTTCGGTTTCCTGGAATTATCTCCCGTTTTCTACTTTTTAATATCGCTGCCACTTGTCTTCTCTATCCTTTTGTCTTTCAGACTGTTTCTCTGATTAAATCTTTTCTTTGTTCAAGCGTTTGTCCTCTCTGTTCTCTTCCCTCACCAGCTCTGCAATCACCATCCTCTTCCGACTCCTCTCCCCCCCGCTCTCCTCTAATCCTGCCATCCTGTTTTTGCTGGAATTTCATCTGCGACGCAGGCACATCTTTATCTCTGTCTCAAACACATGTTTACTCTTGATTATAAAGAGACAACTGTGAATCCTTTAAGTGACAAAGTTGTGAGCGGGGCATGTGTTTGCCTGAAAATATTTGCGTATGTGTTGAATTGTGCGATGCCGACGAAACGGGAGTGTGAGCTGCGCGTTAATGTGTGTGTTAGGTGTTTGTGCCCTGACGGTCTCTGCAGACGGCGGTGGCGCTCTGCCTGGGCAAGCCTATGCTCACACACCTCTTTGCAACCACTACCACCCCTCAGCATGCCCTCCTGTCATGATTAATGGAAATCTAGCAGCATGGCTAATTAAACTGGTAGTTAGAGCGGCTCTCATTAGCTCACTACCACGGAGCGTGGCGACCAAGCCCTCTAATGACTGGTTGCAGCTAGCTGACTGCTGCCAGGCAGCAACAGAAGAGCCAAGGAGACTACTACTGTTAGTGCTGACAACTGTATCCTAACATTGTCAAATTGTACTGCAGGGACAACGGACCGATAATAATTAATATTCACTAAATAATACAAGGACACAGGAGGACGCAGAGAGAGATTCAACGTTTCAAGAGCTCAGAAACAAGAAAACGAAGGCACCGGGGCAGCGGTACTGCAACAGCATGAAACAGCTGAACCAGAAAGAGAAAAAGAGATAGAAAAATTGAATTATCAGAAAATTATAGCGGATTATTTTGACCATAATCCCTGCTGTTTGCCCGAGGTTTATCTGGAGTCCAACTGAAACAGCCAATTACAGCAGAGGAGTTTTCCAGCAGCGATGATCGTTATAACTTAACATATGCCAAAACCTGCTGTGTAGCTCTGTTCTAGTGGACAACATAAAGGAGGATTAAAGCACTTACATCTTTGTAATAGCGGTTTTCGATCAAATTTAACAAACCATTTGAGCTTCTATACTATTGGTAATGTCTAATGTACAGCTCCATCAGTTAGCCTTAGCGTTAAAGGCCAAATTCCCTCTGGAGCTTCATAATGAGCCAAAACACCTAGACTTTATTTCTTTTGCAGGACACAAAAGAACAAAGGCATTTTATCTAAGCTGTTTCCAGCAAGCAAAAACATGCTCACCGTATGACTGTACCGAGGGGATGTTTTGAACCAGTTTGGATCCTAATAAAGACAATTTTAAAAAACCTAAAAAGTGAAACACATCAACCCAATTAAACATAATGGGTGTCTTTCTGCCTTGTTTCTTTCTGGCTATTTAAAACTGCTTAACATAAAAGAAATTATTCAGTAAATAGTGGCGAATGATCTCTAAATTAAATTTTTAAATGTACAAAGATGAGCAAGAATGTCAGTTTCCACAGTGTTATTTCACATTAGGAAGAAAAGATGCAGAATGCTCACATTTCTACGAGGGAAGGTGGTGAGGATCTTGAATTCTTCAAAGGGAAATCCTTTGGAGGCCACAAAGTCAAAGAGGACCTGAAGCCGACAGCTGCCCAGGAAACGCCTTTCCAGAAACTCGCCGCTCGGCGTGCGGATTCTCAGTTTGCTGATTTGCTCTACCGACTCCTCATCGGGCTCGGGCGGTAAAGCCTGCTCCAACGACAAACGAATCGCCTGAAAAAAACAAAAACAGAAAGCACAAAAAAAATTAACCCAGAGTTGTTGTTATAATTTGTAATTACATGATTTTATCGACGGTGCTCAAGGAGAGCAGACAAGTTTGTATTCAGGTACTGGTTGGATTCAACTACAGCTTCCCTTTTTCACAAGCCAATCACATTTGTCTAAAGAAATTTTAATTTTAACAGCTTAAGAGCCAATTTAGCATAGATTGCATTATTTTGACTTGTAATTTAAAACAATTTATACGAACTGACAACCTTTTTAGCGTTTCACAATCATACAAGCATTTACTTACCTTTAGCTGTATATCAAACAAAGTTCAGGCATGTGAGGGACGACTGGCTGATCTAATTTAAGGTGTTGCACATTTTAGACATGCAAAAAGACACTTAATATGAAAATCTACATGCGAAAAAAATTAGGCAAAAAAGAAAAACCTGTTCAAACAATAATATGGCTGGGAAATAACGTATTTTCGACATGTAGCGGCTGAATAATACAAACTTTGTGATAACTTATTACCAGGATAATGATAAACTGTAATGGAGAATATTTGAAAAAACAAAAAATTATCCTGGGATTCTACTTTGTTGTTCAACTATTTTCTCCATGATAACTAAAATAAAATCTCCATGTTTAAAAATTTGATTGACAGTAATTAATATGTAGTGTTTAGTAGCACAGTAGCACTATTCAATGTAATTTGTGTTGTGAAGTTTTATATCTTAGGAAAAGTTTGTCAGCAGAGACTAAAAAACACAACAAATATTCAAAAATTTTCTCCCCAATGTTGAACTTTTTATTATTATTACTATTTTGTATAAATTATTAACACTTTTACTATTTTGTTTGTTTGTTGGGTTTTTCCCGGTTCACATTCTTGCCCCTCCCTCCTGTCTCTTCATAATTATGGAGGTCCGTTCAGTGTGCTGCCTGAATCAATATGGCCTGTGGGCCTTTAATTTAATAAAATCAACTGTGAAATACTGGGAATGTCTAATTTTCTCCATGTTGAAAAGTAAATCTGCCTCTGTCGCTTTAAGACAACCAAACCCAGTATGGTGTCTGTGAGCTGAAAGGCAAAGAAATTTTAAAGAAAAATAAAGTTTGGAATATCTTATGTTACTTTGATGCTCAGCCCACAATGCCTTTCCTGTTTAAATATCAAAACATATGAAATAAAGTCTAAAGTCTGTTTGATTCTCCGTAGATTGATACTAATTAATCAACCCTGTTGTATTTAGATTCTTATTAAATTAGCTGCCCCGTGTCTCACCTTGTTCCCCAAAGCCTCGTGTAGCTCTGAAGGTTGCCAAGTTTCAAATAAGTATGATAAACGCACCAAGTGTGAACTTTCTTCATTCTCTGACTTATTGTTCTAGTAAACAGAGGCTGATACTGCTGAGTAGCTCTTCATAAAATACAGTTCTGAGTTTTGTTTGATGCAGTTAAATATATTTTAAGAGACACATAAATCTGGCAATATGTCCTACATCAGACTCTGTGTGGATCAAAATGCACAAAGACAAACATCAACTGTCATCTTTCACAGCAAAGCTAATCAATCCTCCAGAGTTTCCAGAAAAACGTGCTTCAGCTGCTCCCCCGAGCGTCCCACTTCTCTCTGCTCCTCACCCCTCACCTCCTCCTCACCCGCCTCCCGCTTGTTGTTCCTGTTTGGCCAGCCGGGGAGCATATGCTGTGACAACAAGCCCCGGCTTTATTTACACACCATAATGCAATTATATTTCATAAGAGTGTACAACAGTAGCTCATTAGCAGCTTCTGGAGTTGGGTGGGCAGGGTAGGGCGCGTGCCGCTCCGCCGTCAGCTCCCCCAGGTACACGAGCTGATGCTGACTGAGTTAAAGGGGCCCCCAGGGACGGACTCACACACACACACACACACACACACAGCAGACAGAAGTGTGCATTTTGGACATTTAAATGCAGTGACTGAGCACCACAGAGAAGCATATCCACCCACACAAGGGAGATAGCGTCCTGTAAGAAACCACAGTACACACGTTTGGTCAATCGCCGGGCCCAGGAAGCCCAGCACAAATAATCAGGAGCATCTCTCCGTCTATTCACCTGCGTGAGCAGCTCCGCTCGGCTGACCGCAGAGAGCAAACAGATGACGAGCAGGGGGAAGAGGAGCACCTGACAGCCACACAACTGTATGCTAAGACCCCATGAAGGAGGTAAATAATAATGCCAGCTCACATACAACCCCGCCCATAATTCAGAGGCTCTTACTTTCATCTCCCTTTTCTTTGCACAAAGGCACAAAATCACAGGGAAAGCATTCCCTCTAGCATTGCCCTCTCTCTGGTGGCAGCTTGGGCTTCTTGTTGTGTCTGCACTTCCTCCAACCCACAGCACGCCAGATCGGAGCCTCATAAGACTCAAATGAAAACTGTAAACTAACAAAATATGTAACTCCTAATTATAAAAGGGTGGAACACGTCGTTCCTCATTCGTTTATTCTCAAGAGTCAGGCGACACAATGCAGATGTATTATAGAACGAAAGTAATTACTGCTTAAGAAACAAAATATTTTTACATTTATTAAAGACTAGAATAAATTTGGCATTTAATTAAAATTTCTCCATATCAATTTACTCACGTACACTTATTTGATATGTAAAGTCTACTAATCTAATGAAGGTTTGTCTTTTAATAAAACATAAAGCAAATAGATTTCTCAGCAGAGCAGAACATGGACAAATTGCCATTGAAGTTGTAACATCATCTATCATTGTTAAATAGATTTTCTCCTGTATTTATGAATAAAATCCTTTTGAATTTTAAATCATAAACTCCAATCAGGTCACTTTCCCATCAGTAAACACAATATCCAGTTACTAACAGGTTGTATCAATAACACTCTTTGAAGGGAAGTTGTCACTGACTGAAGGCTCAAAGTTTGCAAATCTCACTGTGAGTGAGAAGTTTAAAAAAACTATGCAAAAGTTATCACAACCAACCAGCAAACTGTATGTGCATTTATTGTCTACTCTTGCTTCTGCTCATAAACAGGGAATGAGATCCAACCAGAGAATCCTGAATGTGTTACAGTAAAGTATTAAACCTGTATATAATGGAATAAGTTGAACTTAATAAAGTTGGGGGTCTTTTTGACAATCTAAAAGGTAAAAACCAAAAATCTCAGCAAAACAGAGTCTATTATTTACAGTTAATTATGCTAACAATACTAATTGTTAATGTCCTGTTCTGTTTTAGAATAACAAACCCTGTTTTACAGTGTTTTTGCAGCTGTACTGTTCCACAAGAAAAATCATGAATGGGTAAAATTGGTATTGGCAGGTTTACAAAACTGAAGAGATATTGATCACAAAACTCCGATCAGAGTTTTAAAATTGTGATTTAATGCTGCGTTTTAAGTAATCGAATCTATGCTACCCTTTTTGGTGGGTTGAGAAAGATTTTTGCAATTTAGCAAAGTTGAGTTGATTTATTAATAAATGTAGAAAAACAATCAAAAACAACCCAATCTGCTGGTTAGACAAAGTAAAAGGCCATTTAATAATCTGACAGCTGAGCAGTGCCAGTAAATACCACTGAAGTTGGGTGAGGAGAAAATTAATTTCAGCAGCACTAAATGACGGACAGTAGGTGTACCATTCGTGGTATTATGTACTGTTTTCACTGTGCATTGTTGGCGCACTACTGTGATATAATTAAGAAGCCACGGTCAGGAGCTCTTTTGTTGTCATTTGTTTAACTCAAGTGACGAATCATCTGAGCGAGCCGGGTCACCCAATACCTGTCCCTGCTTTGGGCTTTCTGCTGTTGAGTAAACAACAATCAGTGAGGACTACACTGTATTAATCTGGACTGAACAACATCGCTGCCTTCATTACGGACAATTATTACTTTCCTGTGTGCTTGGCATTGTGTCTGCCTGTGTGTATTTGCCCCTATTTTACAGACAATAATTGTTTTCAAGTGAATATGCGTGTTTGCTTAGGTTGTGCATTTGTTTGTGCATCGGCCAGTCTCCTCGACCTGCTGCCGTCTTTTGTCCCACTACGTTTGAATATGGTGTTGTCTGCGTTGCCAATAGAAAGCAGTTATACAGAACAATGACAGTGTTTATGGAAGGTGACATTAACAAGCACTGGATATAATTAGGATATTTCCTTCATTTGAAATAGATATCTGGCTGTGAAACCTCACCAAACAGGGTCCATTGACTGGCAGGGTTCTCCGAAACCACAATCTAATTAACCGATCAGAGCACACGCTCAGAAACGCATCAACATAAGACTCGACTCTGTTCTCACCTCCTTCTCTTCCTCCTGCTCTTTTCTCATCTGTTCCAGACGGACTTGTTCCGCTTCTTCTCTTTCCTGGGCTTCTCTCTGGGAATGAAAAAAAAAAAAATTTCATTAAATGGGTCAACAAAACACAAATGGCTTCTCTGCTGACGACCAAGACTGTGTCACTGTGCCTTGTTTAATTATTAATCATGTTTTATCAGTGATCTAAACCACCTGCTCCCCTTTGATATGCACAAGGTCTTTAATCCAGAATACACAAATCGAATCACACATGAAGTAATGCAGTGCTTTGCAAAAGTATTTCCACCGATTTCAATGTGTTTTATTGAGATCCGAGTGGCGTGAAGGAGAAATGATACATGGCTTTTCAAAATTTCAACAAATATTCATTGAAAAAGCATGGATGTGGTTTTTTAGCTTCCTTTACTCTGATACCTGTATGTGCAAACAACTGACCTCAGATGTGATCATATTAGTAAAAATTAAGAGTGGAAAGAAGCAAGCTGGTGTTGAACGAAAGCACTAAGTAGTCTTGTTTGCTACAAACAATACAATGATCATATTATTTGGAAGAACGTACTTTTTAGCCCACTAGTAAAATGTGCCACGTTTCAAAAAACCATCAGAAAACCAACATTGACAGTCATTCTAAAAGCACTCCTAAAGAAAAGTGGTGGCATTAATTATATCCATGTACCGATTGTTTAACTTCTTTACAAGAAAAAAGAAAAAGAAAGCTGACCTCAGATGACCTCTATTTCTATTTTAATCAAGAAACATTTTAATTTCTGGTCTGGTATATTCAGAATACAGCATGTATTCAGATGCATACTGTAGTGGAAGAATATTTTATAAGTTAAATCTAAAAAAATAGGCAAAAACTGTTGTCTCAAGATATAAAAAGCTCATCATCAGCTGGTCCACCATTGTATTATCTGAAGAAAACCCAAAAAAACTTCCAGATGAATTTACATGCCAATCCACATCAAATTTAAAAACAAAATGGGTCATTGTCTGCTAACTCCACATTTTAAAAACAATTGTGTTGGCCTGTGACATATAATCCTAATAGAATACATTAAAATTGTTATTTTCTTAAGAAAAAAATGTGATAAGGGTCATTAATATTTTTTGCATATCATCATGCAAGAAGTTCAGACTCTCAAAAACCTCAAAAAGAGTGCCAAAATCAAATGCACAGGAAAAGTGGAAACACTTCAAAGTCAGAAAACAACAAATGCTCTTTGTTCTGGACGTACCTTCTTTCTGTCAGCCTCTAAAGACAAGCGATAGGCTTCATCCTGTTCCCTCTTCACCATCTCCCTGGCCTCGCGCTCGTCCTGGGTGGAGGGAGAAAGAGAGTTGGGCCTGTTTAACTAACAACATAATAAAGGACACAACGAGAACAAAGCATCTAAGCTGAGGTGCCGGTTATAGAAGCCAGGAAGAACTGGGGCAAAAGAAAATGCTGCATGTCAAGTGTGGTTACGTACAAACATCAGGTATGAAAGAGTAGCAGTAGAAGGGATTTCATTGTGACTGGGCTGTCATTTACCAGACCCTGAACCTCTTTTATGTTTCCTATTCTCAGTTTCACCCTCCCTTTCTCTTTCATTCATTCTGCCCCTCTCTTCCTGTTTGTACAGAGGGAAGGGGACAGGAGGCCTTTCTCTTTCTACCTGCTGTGGCTACAAAGTGTTTCATAAAGACTTGGTCTAAATACGAGTGTCCCATTGTGTTAATGGGCACAGCCATTAGTTTTCTGTTTCCTGAAGGCCCATGCTGTGTGCCGACCCGGATATGGCAAAGTACGCTCATTGTGACGATCAGATGGCTACTGTGCAGCTAGGCGACTAAGCAAAATGGCAGCGTCTATTGTCGCATTGAATCAGAAAATGCAACGATACATTTGTGCTTTGGGTTGACATAATAGAGGAATAGTGAAAGGAAACTGTAAAAGAATGGCAGAGAGGGACAAAGGCTTCAAAAGTGCCCGCCATCAATACACTGACCCCAAGTCACGCAAACAGGTCAGAGTGTGTGACGTACAATACTCCCTTTAGTGCTTGTTAAATATTTTCCAAGGCTTTTAACGCATTAATTTGAAGAATCATGAGACAAAATGTTCCTCAAACATGTATCAGCACAGAGACTGTGATTCTGAGAGCTTTAACTTCAGAGAAAAAAAAAAAAAAAACAGATTTTCCACAATTAAATCATGGCTAGTGTTCAAGTTGGCATCATATGTGGCATCTTTTAGTGTTGATGATACACTTGGTATTGAGGGGAAAAAAAATAAAAAAATCAAGCTGTCACACATTCAATGTTTGCAAACAAAATAAGAAATTTAAACGGCTCTTTTTAATTTGCTTTTCAATTTTGGGACCAAGTGGCTCAGAGATTATACCGCTTCCAGAAAAAGTTGGGATGCTGGAGAAAATGTAAATAAAAAAAGAATACAATGGTTTGCAGAGTATTTAAAGTCTACATATGACGCTCCGATCTGGAAAATTAAATTTTACTTTGTGGAAAACAACATTTGGCCTTTTTTCAGTGTTACTTTTTTATGTGACATATTCACTAATTGGTAAAGGATGCTTTTTTTAGCTCTGAACAATAAAAGTTTGATAGAAAAAAATATATTATTATTTACAGCTTACAACCAAAACTGGAAGTATAGAAAGTATAGAAGGAAAAGCACATATGACTCACAAGAAAACTGTTTCTTATGCATTGTGATAAATGAAGATGAAACAGAATTAAAGATCAATTTCAGGTCCCAAATTCTTTGTTCTCATAATGAGTAGAGTCAACAAAGCACTCTAGTGTATTTACAAATCCAGACATGTTTGATACAATTTCTGGGTAAGATGTGTGAAAAAAGCTTAAAATAAATATTTTCATTCATTCAACCAAAACAAATGAGGAAGCCTAATATCTATGAAAAATGCAGGGTACTCCAAATTCTAACCATTAATTTGAAATGTCACTTTTTTCTAAAGTGACATTTAATAATGTCACTTTAGACATTAGACATGACCTGAGACATGACCTGAGAACAACCTAAAAAACTTGTAGCGCTGACAGATGCAGACCACAAAATCTGAATAGTCACCCAGTTAGTAACCGCTAAGCTAAAACACAGACAACCCCAGGAATGACTGTTGTCTCACTAAGGCTGCTTGAAGTCAAAGTGCAGCTGCTACAGATCCAGACAGACACTGAAGGAAGAGTCATGGAGTTATGCCTGCGTTGAGTGAGTGTCAGTCTGAGTATTCACCGGAAAAGAAGACATCAAAGAAAACAAGAAATTTCTTTGGCAAGAATGACAAAATGAGCAAAGTTGAAGATGAGTTCATTCACTGATTAAAGGAATATGGTCCTTTACTTTCAAGAAAACTGAAGTAATAAGGTTAATGAACATAATATAGTAACAATGACTTATTTCGACATTGTTACTTATCCTCTTAAATATTTCATTTTGTGAGTTATGTCTCATACAAATAAAACATTAATTCATCCATCTCATTCATTAACAACACCCCAAAACACTTGAACTTGGGAAATGTTCTTGTCCTGGCAGAAAGAAGAACCTTTCTCAGGAACAATCGCTTTTGTCAGAATATCTTTGACTTACATTTTTAACATGGAAAAACTGATTGCCTTCATATTCCAGGAAGTAATAATAATAGAAAAATGCAAAACAAATTAATTGGAGAAAAAAAAGAATGGGAAAATCTGCCAGACTGAATATGTCACATGTCAATAGCTCTTTGGTTGAAACAAAAATGTGTACATACCACCAAGTGCCACCCGCACCAAATGTCTACTAAGATCTTCTTAACCATTCTGTGAAATGCTAAGTCTTCGTTTCATGCCAGTTTTAGAGTGTTTACTCTCTGCACTTCTCTGGTGGAGCAGCTTGTGTTTGAACAATATTTAACATTTGAAGACTTTTTGCTTGCAGAGCATTTTACCCAAAAAGAGGATGGATATTGTAGAAAAACACGCTCATGTTTATGAAAATAAGAAAAGTATCCTCTTGATGTCAATAAACTGCTTTCCCTTTGGCAACAATAATAATAAAACTCTAACCATTCTGGGCGTAGGCGACACTGCACGTACATTCCTCTTGCTATAAGCTGTCACTAATGATTGCCTTTCACCAACAGTGACAAATCCAAAAGAAGCCAGTAAATTGTTCAAATATTAACAACACAGAGACAAAAGCTGCAGCTCAGTACCCTGGAAATGACTGAAACAAGTTTAACCCTCAGGGTGCGTGCATGTGTGTGCGTGCATGTGTGGGTGTGTGTGTGCGTGTGTGTGCGTGCATGTGTGGGTGTGTGTGCGTGTGTGTGCATGCGTCTGGGTGTGTGTGTGCTAGAGACCCATTAGCTGATCGCAACTTATGCGACGAAGATTTTATGAATCTCACAACCGCAGTGCTAGGGAATCAGTTTGGTTGGCTGACTCTTTTAATACTTAACTTATCCAGAGTGACAAGCTGTCATCTGTAGATACTGTAGTTAAAAACCGTCACGGATGAGTTTGAAAGCCTGACAAAAAGTTGCGTATGAAGGACTGAACCACAGTCAATGACTTTAATCCTTCCCAACATACTTCAATACTTCTCCAAAGTCAAACATGACAAATTGAAACATCCTTATTAAGGATTTATAAACTGGAAGAATATCAAATAAACTTGAATTTAGACTTGCTTTTTAAATTATACAATTCTTTTTAGTCTTTTGAAAATCACTCCTGAGATTAAACTGAAGACAACTTTGGAATCAAATTCACAAGCTCCAGCCGTACCTCATCTTTGATGTCCTCTTGTTGTTGTGCTGTGAAGATCTCCATCGCTCCCATTAACCGCATCATCAGCTCATCCACCGTTGTATTGCCTGAAGAAAAGTTAAGAAAATTAAATCTCCAGCACATGGTTTTTGAAGTTAATGAAGACATTTCTCTTTAATTCACCTTGAATAACATTTAGAACTTCGTTGGATGTGCGTTTGCCCATAACTATAAGGAGCAGGGGGAACTGGTCTGTCTTGTATGTCCGTATAGTCTGTGTTACCACGCTGCCAAAGTGCCTCGTACACATGGTGAGAAGTCTGAAAAACAAAGAAACACACTCCAGCCTATTTGCTTCAAAATTCAAAATTTGTAACTTGAAATAATACAAAAAGGAAATACGAAATTCACATGTATGCACACGTATTTTTTACAACAAATGGAACTGGTACGCTCTTCTTAGGCTGCGTTGAGAAATGAAAAACACACACAATTCATGGTATTAAGGACTTTAAAACCAATTCGCCTTTTCCTGATTCCATCAGAGTGACATGCTATCTCAATTGGAAGCATAGATGAATTAGTATTCCTCACCAGGCGCCCAGAATTGATAGGGCAAGAGAGGATTTCTTATTCCATTACAAAGACAGAACTTTTTAAATTAACATTTCAGAGGGAAAAGGGTAGCCGGCAGCCGGGGCCCCGCCAAGCTCCCTGTAAATGTCATAATATTAATGAATTGCTATAGACTGAATGCAAATATAGATTAGCTTTTTCTCCCGCCTTTTAATAAGATCTACTTTAATAACTGAGTGGTAAAATGGAGAAGTAATGGAATGGGTGGAGGGGGGGACAGGTCAGAGAGAGAGCATAGATAGAAAGGCAGCTGCCTGAGAGAGGGGTGTAACTCATTAAAGATGAAGTCACAGCTATAGAAGCTGCTTGACCAACTTTCAAGCTGAGAAATTGAGCACGAAATCTCTATATGATAGTAATAATCTCCAAAAACTAGGATGTAATAGTAAAAAACCAGGGAAGAAAAGTGCTTCGGGCTGTAATTCAGTCAGAACTTTCCCAAATGAACTCCGAGTCACCCTTGACTTGCAATGAAAGAGATGGGTCACTCTAATCTTATGGATCATTTTGATCTGACATTTGTCCCTGTTCAGCCCTCGACCCAGCCGCACCATAACAATAGCCCACAGGGAAACTCTAACCTGTAATGAAAGGCCAGAGAACAATGGACAACAACTTGAAGGGTAACCTAATCTTAAAGCTCTAACCAAGCACAAGCCAAGCTGCTTTGGTTTCCAGCAGAAAATCGCAGAAAGTCAGTCTTCACGAATAAAAACAGACAAAATGGCAACATCAAAACTGTACAACTAAGAGACTCGGCCCACGTCGACTAACTTTCCACTGTGATTTAAGCTGCATCTAGAACTTAAAACACTTTTGCATTCGGGTAGAAAACAAGTACGGACACAACACTGAGGTTAAGAGGAAGCAGAGTTGCTCGAGGAAGTGAGGTGAGCAGTTCAGCAACATCATCCAGGATTAATCTAACATGGCAAAGAAGGTAATTGAGTCCACACAAAGTCCACTAAAACTCCATGAAACATGAAAGAAAACACCTGACCAAACTCGCAGCCAACGTGTTTAAGACTCCGTGTTATTGGACAATGTGATTGACAGCTTCTAATTTGTCACCCATCCCATCTTATTTTCTTTGTATTTATCTCTACAGCAAAAATAGTTAATGTTTCGCCGTGCTGTCGCCTCACATTTCATCCGGTCCAGTTCACACATTAAGATATGAATTGACAGGGAGCAGCTGATGTTTGCTCCAGTGAGCAGCTGATGAATCAGGTTAGTACAGTAGCACTGCGGGGAATGTTTCTGCAAGCCACCTGTATGGGAGCAGTCTGGGAACCGGATGCTCCGATAGCTCACTGTGTCATACACACTTTGTTTCAGAGCTAACATGGACAAGTTTTGATTTGAATGTGACATTTTGTTCTCCCTCTAAACCAGTTATGTTTTCAGGTTGGCGTATGTCAAAAGGAGTAGTCAGGTATACTGAACAGGTGTGCAAATTGGTCTGTGAGAAGTGAAGCCTTCAGGTTTCACTTTAGGACTACAGAATAATTACTTCTCAGAAGACTGTGTAGGTTAAATATGAGGAAGAACAACAAAAAATTTTTTTTAATATGAACAAGTATTCATAGCTTTGAACTTTTAGAGACTTCGATTATAATTTCAATGGCAAAGTTTGTTTGTTTAAACTTTTTTTATTATATCACTAGACCAACAACAAGTTACTTCACGTACAGTGAAGCAAATAAACGATTTTATGCTTCCTAATAATATTCTTTGCAGAATTCCTGATGGTGCATTTACTTTTTTTTATCATAGTATATTTATTAGCTCTGTCCACTTAAGAGACTGATATTTATTCAATTAATCTAAGTGCAAATTCATTTAAGTTTAGTCAAATAAGATCAAAGTCTCGACTTCGTGTCAGAGCCATGGTTTTGCACCAATTGGAAGACAAAGACATTGGGAAAAAACCCATTAAGTAAAGTTAATCACTGAGAAATAGAAAACCCATGGTTGTAATTAAAGGACCTGTTCATAAGAATGAGAAAGGCGACTTTCTCATAGATTGGAGGGATGGCGTGGAAATAATGTGATGAAGATTGGAAATGCCAGTTTGAGGAAGAGGAGAGTCACAGAAGCTTCACAGATGGAGTGAAGGATGCAGAGGGTTTGGAGTGACAGAAAGGTGCTGATCAGCTGTAGAGAACCGACAGAAGCTGACAGAAGATATAGGAAATTTATAGCTCATTAAAATCCTACATCACTACCTTTTATATTTTAGGTGTGGCTTTTCCACCGAACCTGACCCAAAAATTACACTTTGACCCCACCTTCTTCCACATGTGTGCCGTGTCCCCTTAATGGTTGGTGGCAGTCTGCGGAAAGGATTTCTTTGGACTTTCTTCCAACAATTGATTTCTTTCTCCCAGTCTTCCGTGAAGCACACATTTGTGGAGTCCGTGTCTAACACTTTCCCCTGGAACAGATACTACCACCTAAGCAGTGAATCTCTGCAGCTCCTTCAGAGTGACTGTGGGCCCCCGGGATGCTGCTCTGATGAATACTCTACTTGCCCGACGAGTTCTTCAGTGTGCCAAGAAATGCTAAAAGCTTAGAACATTATTTAAAATCTAATTCTGATGTAACGTCGTCACGTCTTTCACTCAAACCCGTCTGCTGTGTTGCTCTTGTTCACTAATGTTCGCCAACAAACCTCTGAAGTTGTTTCACTAAACCGGAATGAGTCCAGTAGAAACAGGGAAGAGGGTGCTGAATGCAAACGCATGTCAGATTTTTCACAGTTTTATTAAAGATGTTGGAAACCCATTTATTATTTTAGTTTCCTTTCACAATTATGAACTACTTTGATTAGTTCTATTTTACAAAATAAAAAATGGTTTTGGGGTTTGTGGCAGTATCGTGACAAACTGTGAAAACCTTAAATGGTGTGTTATAGTGTTTGCCAGGCCCCGTGAGACAGAATACTGACTGTACAATTCTTTTCCCACATTTCTGAAAAAACTCCGGCATCCAATCACCAGCCCCGCTTTTATGCATAATTAATCATTTGCCAAGGAAGCCTGTGAAGAATAACACATTCCAGTATCAGCAGGTTTATCACTCACAATTAGGATACCTTTCTAACAGGCTGTGTGACTAATGCCAATCACCAGTCAGTCCGGATCAGCCAGAGAGCGTGAGAATGCAGAGCAGCCGTGCATTTGTGAGCGGGTTAGCCTGCACAAGTGCATGCATGCGTTAGCGGCAAAGCTGCGACTAGCTGTGTGCCTTGAAAAGCTCCAGATGTTGCCTCTCTTTTAATGTGCGATAAAAAGGCTCAGCTGGGGCAAAAAGCAAAGGAGGCCAATCGGAGAGAAAGGAGAGCGGAATGAAGGAAGGAGGGAGTTTCCTTAAAAGAAATAATGGAGGGAAAAGGTCAGGGTGCGAGTCTTTCTTAAGTGGCTACTACCAGAGGGCAGGCTTAACTCAGCAAGTTTAGGGGACAGAGGGGGAATGTTAGACCAAAGAAATAAATAAGAGAAATAGAAAAACGATGCATTCAAAAAAACAATCTACTGTCTAATACAAAAAAAAAAAAAGATTTGAAAACAAAAGCCGAACAGCACTTTACTAAAACAGGGCACAGAAGTTTGGACTTTCAGGATGAGTGCAGTGATAGAGATGTTTGGATTCCAAAGGAGTCCTTCATCTCCCACTGACCCTCTATTCAGACAGCTCAGTCAAAATGCCCAATCAGGGGCCTCGCCGTGCAAACACAACGCCTTTTGTTAGCGTGCAACCTCCAAGCTTCAAAACACAGAATGAAGCTGAAGAGAGAGTGAAACTGGTGAAGACATCTTAACCAATTTCTATTGCACGTTTTGTCACACCTGATGTTTCATCAACAGTTCATGATTTATTATTCCCAAAAGTTCCTGGTGCAGCCAGCAGTTGTACAGCTCAACATTTACAATTCAGTCCAACAAGAGAACAAGTGTGGTCATTATTTTGAAGCAGCAATTAAAACATGAACATTGGAAGCCACTACCGATACTCAAACATCCTTGATTAGCGAAACACATCATCTGACTTTGACAACGTGTGTGTTCCCATCAGAGCGATGGTCTGTCAATAAGGTGGAAGGCAACTTTCACCCCTGATCAGCAGAGAGAAAGAGATTGGTCATGAGTCCAAGTCAAGACTCCAATTTTGGTTTTGATTAAGTGTTTAGAGTCCAAGTCTAAGACTTGAGTTTCCATCAGATACATCAGTGGCAGGACCACTGGAGCGAAATCAGGATTTTATTTAATCACAGCTTGTAGCTCCCCTTAAGTTTTGGAAAGAGGCTTCAATTTACGACTAGCCTGGCATATTATCTGATTGTTTGCTGGAGGCATTACTTTTACTGATCTTTAAAACCACTGGGTTTTTATACGTTCTTATCGTTTGGCCTTGACATTTATAATGCGCGCGATTGAACATAAAGGAAGCTATGCTATGAAGCTTACAGAAAATGCATGAACTTTTTAAACTTTCATTACAATTCCAAAACTAAGATCTTTTATGCAACATTTTTCAAATTAAATGAATCAAGTAAATCAATGAAAATTAATTATATCACCTTTAAACAGAAAATGCATATGTGGCATTAATTCTACTGAGTGGAGAAGCCATAGCCGTGGAAACAAAGAGTATTCTGACGCTGTACCTGGCTTTGTTAGCTTCTTTAGTGACATCCCAGGCCCATGTGATGAAGTTCTGGCTCAGGTAGGAGACGATAGAGTCAGCACACATCATTTGGGAACAAAAGACGTTGCTGAGGACGCTGTCGTCATTGTGGAGGTAGATGGCCAACAGCTTTCTCTGCAAGAGAGAAAAAAAAAGGAAAGGAAAGAAATTAGAGGCAGAAAAAGACAAAAATATCAGCCAACTGTATCCTGTAAGCCTTCAGGGTATTTGCCTAAGTGATATGAGACTCCTTTTGTTTTTCTAATTTGGAAGAAGATTCATTTTTAGAATGGGCAGCAGAGATTTTTTTTTCTAATCATTTGTAAAAAGCAACTAAAACTAATACTCTGAAATAACAATATTTAACTAGCATAAAAACAAAGAAAATAATTGCCATTTAGACAATAAAATCAAATTGGATATATTATAACAAAACCGAATGACACAGAGTTCTGAATTTTTTTTTAAGTCTTGAGATGCAGTGATTGGGCTGATTTTGACCAGTTCAAAAACAGACATGTCACATAATACTTACAATCATGCCATGTTTGACTCCAAGAGAAAATTAATGAAGAAACACATTAATCTCATTTATGCATATAATGCATGTCTCTCATTTTTAGAACCTCTGTTACACTCAACCAAAAGTGCATCACAGATTTATAGACAGAAAATGGCAGAAATTTATTAGTTTGAATGTGCTGAACAGTGTCACACCTGCTGATTACTGATCAAAAAAATATTACTCCCTCATAATCTATGGTCAACTGGTGCATCTCTCTATTATTTGCCATCGTTTCACCACACAAGGGTACCTCCATATTGAAGAGACAGCGAGGGAACATGAATCGACATTAAAGACAATTAGGTGAAGAGATTTGAGCAGCTCATAACAAGGGCACAGCCGACAAAAACAGCAAATAGCAGACACAATCAAGTTTAAAGCGGTGTAAATAAAACTTCTCTTGGATGCGAGGCAGATATAGCAAAAACAAAACAGACAAATCACTCTATTTATTTTATACCAAATGCCAGCAGCCTGCTCAGGTTAGTAGCAGCAAGGCCAGACAATATTGACGAAGCTCCAAATCCGAGGATATTGACACCAACGTATAAGCCCGCTAGATTTTCCCTTCTGACAATCTAATTAAAAAACAAACACACCCACAAACGTAAAGGGTTTGAGGGGACAATGTTGGAAATAATGCTCTTTAAATTACATGTCACTTTGCGCCGTATAAAAGAACAAACAAGAACAACTCTCAATCTGTGCCTGGTTCATTTTAAGCAGGGCTGCGATGGTGGGAGTTAAGGGGCCTGTTTCTCAGGAGCAGTAATCTAGGCTACGTGCGCCAGAAAGCAACGAAATCTACACAGGGCGTAAGATGTGAAGAGAAGAGAAAGAAGAAGTTGTGCTATACTGTGGCCTGTGCAGAATGGGAATGGGAGAGCACTGCTGTGTTTGCTCAACGATTAGTGCTTTAGAATAATCTCCAGGGCTCCTAGAGAGAAGGACCTGGGGACTCATTCACTGGGCCGATTCACCAGCCTGAAAAGATTAAACACTCATGCTGAGAAGACAAGCAAATTCAGACTAGAGGGAGGAATGAGTCTGAGGATAGTGAGAGTTTTACAACCAGAGAGGAAGGGGAAAAAAGAACCTGATACACACTCGAATACTGGTGTCCCAACCTGAATTTAAGTTTGAAGCCACAGGCAAAGGATTTATGCTCACAAACATGCATGCTCAATTAGACCAAGTGTAAAGACTAATCAAAGTAGGCATTTTGGCCAACTGAACTCCTTCATCTCAGTTAAACTGTCCATACCCCTCTGTTCCCTCTCCACTTTCAAAGTGAGATCTTTTGTGTCGCCTGACTTAGCAGGGAGGAGCAAATCCCTCCGTTCAGCTAAATTACTAGGTCCAACCTGAGCGAGATAGCGACCCCATAGCCCTTCCTCACACCTGTTCAACGCAATCTAAGCTCACTTTGTGAGAGCGAGTGACCAAAGATTTCACACAGTACGGAGTTGATCATGCTTAGATCTATGTGCATAATTTAAATTTCATCCTTTCAAAAACTAATCTGAAGAAAATTCATTAAAAATGATCCTTTCTAAGCCTGTTTATTAAACCAAACAACTTTATCACACAATTCAAAAGTCTATGTGTTTAGGTAGGTAGGAGGTAGGCCTTTTTCACTTCCGACAAAATTGCAATGACATTCAAATAAAATCCTCCTCAGACAACGTACATCAATAAAAATAGAGTAATACCGATATTTAGCAAGATAAAAAAATTAAAAATATGACTGTAGACTGAAAACTAACGTCACTGGTAAAACATGAACAATCTCCAGCTAGTAGGGGACAGTAAGGCACCTGGAGGTCAGTTGTGAAGAAGATGCCCAGGGCAAAATTAAAAACTTCAAAACTACAATATCATCTCAATGTAAAACATTTGCTCAGAGCACAACAGAGACATCAGCTACATCAGGTCTAGGAGAAATGGTAGCAGGTTGGTTATCCGCCACCATCCTTTCAGATATTACATTAAAAAGATTCTGCACCAAAAAGTTCATTTCAGACCAAAGACTGACCTCTGATTTTATGAAGCTGCCAATACTGAATAACTAATTTCAATACTGTTGTACTTTATGGATAAATTGAACATTTAATCATCTTTATAATGATTTTCTCAAAAGGTATAATGTATCACATAGTTGTCTCAATCTTCATCTTGGGAGATCTACTAGAGCAGGTTATGGGCAACAGGTATTAATGCAAATCCAACTAAAACAATCACCATACATCTCACTAAGTCATTTATACTTATAGTTCTGCATCTTTTCGTACACTTTAAAATACAGAAGTATTAAGTTTTTATGTTGTGTCCAACTTCAAATTTGTTGTATTCAAATTTGTTATATTCATTTTAACAATACAGTGCCTTAACAAGGCTTTCTGCCTTCAGTCATTATTTATTTTATATTGCATGCAGAGACATTATGTGTGAGAGAGAGCAGCCAATGTCACACAGCTCTGCTATTAAACAGGGTTTTAACATATTTAAAAACCACAAAAATAGCATTCTAAACCCATTTTACTCCCAATTATATTAGAAATTATAGGGCTGGTCGATGACAAAAAAGGTAGTATTCATGAATATTTTTGTTAAGATTATATGAAGGGATTGAGCTACTTGAATAGAGCCATGATATTATCTACCCTCTAAAACTAGAAGGTAGACAAATAATTCCTAGACAAAATGTCACAGACGAGTATTAAAAAAATAAACTCAAACTGTGTTTCCTATTGTCACTTTTCAGTTCGATGTTCCCTTCGTAGTTTGAGTGGTTGTGAAGAAAGTAGCATAAAATTATCACCTAATTCTGTGTTTGACCTCATTTGTCAACTTCACTTTAACTTAATAGAGACTTCAAACAAACTAAGAAAAAAGTAACATGCTTCAGCAAACAACGTTTCTGATAGGTGATGGAAAACATAATGATGGAAGAATGTTGGAAGAAACATCTAGAAATATTTGCTTTACTTTAATAGCATATTTTCTTAATATCCCTAATTATAAACCTGAATAAATTCAAACAAAAAACAGTGTGTAATTAAAAAAACCACTGCTTAGCAGATGAAAATGTTTCCCACTGAGCTATTCTGAAAACTAATGGTGAGGGAAACTCCATTTTTTCCATGGTACATTAAAACTTGGTGTGAAACCTGTCTGGATTTCCTCTCGTCTACACTACTAACTTTCATTATTACGTATACATACCCACACAGTGCCCTTTTCAAAAAAACAAGAAAATACACTGTGCATGAAAAATGACAGAAAAACTAATATCTCCCTCTATATACCACAAATTATTCAACACAATCTTGGCTGCCGGGGCGCTCCACACTAGAGAGAAAGCTGATATTAATGAAACCAAAATACCAGCTGATATTGTTCTTTTATCGAAATTGCTGCTGTAAAGTTGCTACCAAAGTGCTGAGCCCTATATTTTTCCTGACACTTGTGTGATTCAGAGCTGTATTTACAGGAGGATTTTTTTAATACCTACAACTTTTAATTTGATGAGACATTTATTGTTTGTTGACCTGTTTAATCTAGGAGCAATACATAAATAAATACCTGCCTCCCCACTCACCATGTTTTGCTGTCCGCTAGGATATTGGCCAACCAGTATTTGAACAATATCATCCAGCGGTAAATCATTTAAAAATGACAATAACTAGCTCTTTAACATTGATAAGATTTACGTTGTCAATGTTATTATTTTGAGGTTGTATTTTTGGTATTTATGTTGAAATTTGGCCTCTTTTTGTCAATTCTGAGATGCATACCAACAACTCTAATGTTGACTAAATCTGTGACTGATATAAAAAAAAAGGATTATTTTAAATACACATAAGAACCTTAAATGAACTAACAGCACTTAATGCCAAGTAGAACATCAATCAGAACCATTTCTCTTCCCTGCAATGAAAGAATTAGTTGAATTGGATTAGAGCAAAACGACATCCCTTTCTTCAGTGCAATATCACGTTTCAAAGGAGTCTTTGGATGCAATTTTTAGCCATTATATTTCAAGTTCCATGCATTTTGCCTGCTGGGTTGATTTTTGCTGTCTATGATGCCCAGGCCTGATATAGTAATGCAGGCAGAGATGCTAGAGCTCAGCAATGTTGTGATGATGGACAAAAGTCAGAAGGTGGAAAAAAATGTGCAGGTTAACTTATTGATATAATATAATTTATATAATCAGTAATATTTCCATGTTGCATCTTATGGAATATAAAAATCCCTCCACGTGCAATAATGAAAGATAAAAAGCTTATATTTACGATAATTTCATTAATCTGCTTTTTCGTATACAGTCAACAGTTTAGTGCTGTGGTTTGGTTTTTCACTTCGCCGTCTGATGAATATAAGGACGCGTAACATCCATATTTCTGCTCCGCCTGACTGCTGCCGTTTCCTCTCAAGTCCTCAAGGTGATCGCTGGGATCTGAAGTGGATACTTGGCAGAGATAAATCCCCGAACCTCCCTCTTCTTCATGGCTATGAATTTTTATGTGTCTTTGTGTGTGGCAGACAGGAGAGAGGAGCGAAGGAGAGCGGGGTTAGAGTGATTAACCACTGCATTGATGGGGATTTAGCGAGGATCGCCGTTAGTGATGGGTGGCCTATCACTCTGTGCGCGCCGACTAACCATCAATCCCCGAGAGAGTTCAGCTCAGCTCAGCTCAGCTCTGCAGCCCAAAGCATTTTCATTAAGGATGGATTGAGTCTATCTCAACAGTGCCCCAACACACACCTTCAGAAACACTTCATCAAATGTAGTGTTTTGCTTAGTGATTAGCCTCTCCCAGGCTATGAGCGACTGAGACTGATTCCTCTGTTTATAAAGCAAGAAGTTGTCTCTCTTCAGCCAGATCTGCCCTTTTCTAATATCCTCTTAATGAAGGAGGCTTTTCTCCCATGATTACAAAAAACCTGGATTAAATGGAAGCAAACGATGACGTAGCTGAATCGATAAGATGAAGAAATTGTGTAATTTGGAGACACTAGACGATGTAATGAAAACATTCAAATGAGCATGTGTTGGCCTGTTGTCCAGGCTGACAAAACAAGACAGAAGCAGAATTGCTTCAGTTTTTCGGAAACTGTCTTGCACATAAACACCATCGATAAACCGTTTTAAACACAACACAGTTGGCAGGCTGAATGAAACTCAGAAAATACTGTGAAAATAAATGCTGCTTGCCCCTTTGCTGCACAGAGCACAATGATGCAGAGCGCGCGAACACCAGAGACATCAGCCATATTGTGCTGGCTTAGAAGCAGGAATCAGCTGGGAAAAAGGCAGGATGCCAAATGTTGTCTTACTTTCTCTGTTTATTTCTCTCTCTTTCCATCTTTCATCCTCCAAACTCACATCCTCACCATCTGACTCATTTCCAGCAGACATTTTGGCCTCGTTCTCTTATTTCACATGTTCTTAATAATGCACCATCACGGTCATCTTTATCGCCATCGCTCTTTGTGTGCCTGACGATGTGAACCCTCCCTTTTCCCTAAACATGTTCCTGTGTCCTCTCAGTCTAATAAGGCCGTAATCCACACAAGCTGTCAGTTGATACAGGCATCCTTAAAAAGAAAAAAGGCGGAAAAACAAGATGGGAAAGAAGGCAGCAAAAACAAAGGCTCAACTTTCAGGTTGAAAAGTTAATGCAACTTCTGGTAAAATCAAATAAATGTTGCATTATGTGGAGAAAAAAAAAAGGTGTGGACAGCCGTCAAACATTCTGCTTCGAAATTAATAATGGAGCTCCTATGAGTTCTGTGTGTTATGTATCTTAACATGTTTAGTTATTCAGATTTGTATTAAATATGTTGCCATATTGAGTTTATCAGACAACCTTTTGTTTAAAAAAAATGGTTTATATCAATTTACTAAGATTATAAAAATATTAATTTAAGGGGTTTTTATTTGTCTGTATATATTTAATATAATGCAAGCGCCAACAGAAGCAAAAATAGACTGAAATGTGTGAAGATAAAAAGACAAATTCTGGATTATTTCGTCTGCTCCAAAATTCGTAGGAGAAATAAAAAGAGCATGATATAATTTTCTTGAGAAACTCTTTAGCCCTGGGAGCAAAAACAACTTGCTTCTACACCCAAAAAAATTATTTAAAATTATAGCTCTTATAATTTAAATTTTAAATTCAGACTATGGAGAAACAGTGAGGAAGTTTTTCTCCAGAATTTGTGAACTTTTAATCTTATGCAAGATTTGTTATAATTAAAATTCAACATGGCCACTAGCATTTATGACTAACCAGAAAACTACCTTGTTTTTATTTCTTGTTTAGAGTTTTGTCTTTTTGCTTCCCCCCCCACTTTTCTAGCAATATACTACAGTGTTAGTACATTGTTTTCACGCCAGGTCAGAAACTAACGGTGGTGATCATGTCATAATTTTGTGACAAAGTAACACTTTCAACATCACTCAAATTACAAAACATTTATAAAATAATTTACTAAAGCTCTGCTGTGGTTTGTAAAAGACACAGTCAGCTATGTCCAGACGTTAGTTATAACAATGACTGTTAAGCTTTAAGTTCCCATGAGCTCAGTAACAAAAGTAAAGAAATGAGTTAAGCTGTACATCCCCTGATGGATGTAGAATGAATAATATCCTGCTCTGTGTTATTTCAAGTAAAGATAACTTCTCAATAACCTTGGTACGAGACCACAGGAAGTAAGAATGACATCAGTGCTGAGGGACACTCCATGTCCAACATAACCAAACACTGTATCGCCTTAAATTACAATTGTTCCTAAGAGGTCTGAACAGTAGAACAGCTCACTTACATCTCTGGCTTTGCCGTAGAAGGCCTCTTGAGACGCTGCCTCCAAAGACCCAATATAGAACATTGGGTGGGTCTCTCCATATCTGTGACACACAAGACAAACAATAGTTCATCAGTTGGGTTGGACATCACAACAATGAAGGCTCGGTTCTTGGTTAGATCAGTTCTTCGTAACATCACTTCACAAGATGCCCACCTTGAAGAAAATTCGGCAGTAAAGTGAAGTAAGGCATCCGCTTCGTTCTCACTGTTTTCTGGCACTGCAAGATGAAAACAAAAATTAATTAATCTGTCTAACCAGCTGTAATACGTGCCTAATAAGTATTTTTAAACAATTTTTCTATACGTACTCATAGGTGATTTCCGACAGCCTGTTGTGCCCATTCCAAACATTTCCGAATCATCCACACCAAACTCTGACGCATCTTCAAAATCGTCCCCCTCGCTGTCACTGATCATATGAACATCTGTGCACTGTAAACATTCAGTTTTTAAATGTTAGTTAACCTGCATGCACTACTGGTGGAGTAATCAAGAGAGGTGAGGACCGGGCTGGATCTTTTCTGTTGACTTACTTCTTCTGTGGGTTCCTGGGCGTTGGCTGGTGAAGATCTTCGACAAACACTGAGGTGATGGCATGGGTAGCTGATTCCAGAGAGAGCTAATGTCATCTAAAAGCAGGGAACATGGACAAAGGAGCACCATTATTTTCACAGATCAATTAACCGGCTTAATCTGAGCAAATGAACCAAAATTATAAAAATTGCAGAAGTATCTGAAAAGTGTGGTGAGGATAACTCCAATTCAGTCAGGCTGGCGGGAGATGCTTTGACGTCTTTGACTATCAATTTTCAAAATTTTCCTTGATCATCTCCTGGATTTAGGCTGGTATTTAATTGGGTCATCTAAACCATTTCATTGTAGCTCTGGTTGTAGTTTTACGATCCAGTTGGATCATCTGAAACTTGTCTTTGATTACTAAAGCTCGGCACACATTTTAGAGTCCATGTCCTGCTGGAGGGGAAACCTGTCCCACTTCCGTCTTCTTCTTTCTATCAACTGTGACCACCTTACCAGTGTCTTGTTGAAAAGAAAAGCATTCCAACAGCACAATGCTGCCCACACCATATTTTACAGTGAGGAAGATGTCCAATTAATTATTTTTCAGTGTTAGTCTTTTGCAAAAGATAATTTTTGGAATTTAAGCCAAAAATTCCAATCTTAACTGAGTAAAGCACCTTTCTCCATGTTAGTCGCTTCCCCTACATGCTTTAGGTGAAACTGTTTGTTTTTTGTTTATTTTTTCAATAATGACTTCTTGCTCTTTCTCCACAAAATGTCAGATTTGTGTACAAGTCTGGGCAATCCAGCTGATGGCTGTTCCTACCTGAGGTGTAGATTTCTGCAGCTCCTCCAGAGTTACTTCTTTTGTTTGGTTATTACTCCCCCTGCCTGTCCTGTCAGTTTAGGAAAATGCCTCAGAATACTGAATCATTTCATACCCTACCCATGATCTGACTAATGATTACTCTATTTACACTTATTTTATTGTCGTTACACAAAGAAGCGATGGTAAAATTGGCAAGAAAATGTCATCGCTTGAGCACCGCAGCACACAGAAAACCAACAAAACATGACGATGGGGTTGACAGAACAGCTGCATTTATGTTGAGATTAAATTGACCATTTTTTAAATGGATGACTTCCAAGACAACCGGGTACAGAAGATTTTATCAAAGGTTTTTATTTGTAAGACAAAAAAAGCTTCACTTTTTGTCATTTTACCGCACTGATCCAGTTAAATGCATAGAGAATGGATAAATGTTTGCGGTTTTCACATAAAATCTGAAAAGTTTCAAGCAGTAGGAATATTTCCAAACACAATCCATAAATTCAGACCTTGCCATCACGTTTTTCATGGCATTAAATCAAAAGCATGCTTTCCACCATAATGAGGACCTATGCTGTGGTTTCTGTGCACCTGCAATAGCCGCCAACAAGGTTCTGTGTCTGTAGAAAAGGAGCAACTGACTAATTAGCTCCCAGACCAGAAGCCGGCATTGAAAATGTTGGCGTTCAGCAGGGACTCATTACAGCTAGTGTCTCTTGGTTTGCCCTCCCGGGACGACAACAGTATAGCCAAGCAGGTTTCAGGAAGAAAGAATAAAGAAACTTTGCAATTTTTAAAACCAAAGAAAGTATCTTCATATCAAGATTTTCTGGTAGTGAAGAAATATTTGTTTTTAATCAACAGTGACACCTGAAAGTAGGATTTGTGATTGTCTGTGCATGTGTTCTTGATTGCAGAGATACTACACCGTAAAGTAACAATATATTTTCACTGATGCACTATTTGTTAGGAGTCCATCAGAAAGACCAGATGTAAAGACTTTTCTGGGAGAGTGCACCTCTAAACCACAGCGGAGCCGTAGACCAGCCAAGCTGAGTGTGATAAGGGAGACACAGAAGCTGAGCGTCCCCTGCAGAGGTCCTGTGATCCGCTCTATTGTCAGGTGCAAAGACACACAAAGACCAGCTGGACACGGTTGAATCAAGAGACGATTACATGCAACGCCAATTGAATCTGAAAAGGACCAAACAGGCTGAACAGAGCTTTTCTCTGAATTGGACCAACTGCCCATGCCGCCCTCAACTTCTACAATAGGAGAGATCAGTGTAGCCATCAGACCTTGAATGCAACACGGACCCAGATGTTCCGCTGTTTAAATTGCACAGATAAATACGACATATTTGCCAAAGTTCCCTGCTTTCTGTCATGTCTGTCACACTGGTTGATCTCCTGAGAGTTGGAAAGCAAGTCAGCAGCAAGAGAAACATTTTAAAATGTTTGAGCCAGCTGACTTAGTTCTTTCAAAAGAACTAAATAATATCCTATCATTTTGACTGAGGTTGACTCACTTCCTTTCCCCCCCACAGAAATTTTAAATCCTGGAATACATATACAAACACTGTAATATAAAAAATAAAGTTGAGATCCACATGCATAGTAATTTCCAACCACCCAAGTTGTTCACGTATCGTTTTTTTAAGCTAAACTAAGAAAGTTTACATTATGACAATGATTCTGGAGAAGCAAGCAACCAATTTTCTGGGGTCTTAAGAAAATCTCTGAAACCACTTCTAATATTGACTGATGTGCACTGACCATAATAAAAAAAAGAAGCATAATATACAGAAAAACAAGTATTACCCATGGTGTCAGTGACAGAATAATATCCTGGTGAGCAGTTTTCTTGTATGAAGCTCATTGACAAGAACCATTACAATATTTAAACAACAAACCAAAAATAGTGTCAGTTTCTGTTTCCCATTTCTATTGATCAGTAGAAAATTAAATCAAGAATGGCTAAGAAGAACGACAACAACTAGCAAAGTCTGTCTTCACTCAGGCAGCTGTATTAAGTACTAAAAAACCATTGAACTGAACCAATTATTCTCTTCTGAAAACCACAGACACACATGGACAAGTATTGTCAGTTGTCAGGTCAAGCAAGATGTTTAAAAAGACAAATAAAAAAACAAATATGTCAAACGAAGAAAAGACAAGAGGCTGTAAAAGAGTGAGATTGAGCAAGACTAATAACTAACAGGAAGGCTGAACAGAGTAAAGTTGCTTTGTTTTATGTCTTTAAACTTTCAAACCGTCAATAATGAGCTGGGTTTTGAAGTGTATGAGCCTTTTGGTGACCTCAGATGACAATTTCATATAATTCTGTCCATCATTGATCTGCAAATGTTTATCATTCCCTTAGGGGAAAACCCTCCACAGAAAAAAGTTGCAAGTTGTAATCCTCGACTCTTTGATTCGGCAATCGCAGCTGATTGCCTTGTATGACGTGAAAGGACAAACTGATCTGTAATGTGGAGAGAGGGGTGGTGATTTACTGTAAACAATGATTTGAACAGGGCAAGACTCACACTAACAGTCTGCTTTGTTTAAGGAACAAACTGTTACTAATGAAAACCAAACTAATCGCTCATGTAAGATTATAAAGTTAGGATAAAATGATAACCCCATTATCATTGTCTTTTTAAAATAATAATAAAACCCTGTTTTACAGTGATATGTCATTTTTTACTAGTTCAAATTAATACCACTCACAACAAGAAGGCTAGATCAAGTATTATTTGTAATAAACATATCTACTTATATTATAGCTCTTACTGGAAGGGGCCCTGGGTAAGTCAGAGCTTTGCAAAAACAGCCAATAAAATGGACTGTAAAACTCTGATTTATGCATCGCTAATGAAAAAAGTACAATCTCTTAAACAGTAAAACAAAGAGAAACAGACTCCGATTTATAAAAGGAAGGACTAGGTACAATGAACCCATATTTAAAGCACGATGTTGATATGAGAACAGGTATTCTCACAAGTAGCATCAGGTCCTAATGGGTTGAAGAAAAGCCATGCCCAATTAGGACCTCTTATGTGCTAAGCCTTGGAGTTGAATTAGTGCAGATGGCTGTAGGTGCAGAGCCAATGAAAGCCATACGAGGTCTAAGCTTGGAGGAAGACAACGAGTGGCCCAAAAGACCATTTCTTTGAATTGAGTGGCAATCAAATGTGAGAATCCTGACAGCGAGTACGGAGAGGATCTCTGTAAACCCTTTACGCCGCTATTCACAATGAGAGCCTCTTGTCTAACAACCTAATAAGTGTTTAAATCAAGTTGATCACTTCCCCACAAAAGGACAGCCTGAGGGGTTTTAGAGCTGACATTGATGCCAGGAGGGGAGCTGAAAATGGGGAAAAAATTAGTTGAGTGCCTCTCAGTCCTCTTTCTTGCTTTGACTGGATGGCTTTCACCAATGTTGAAGTACATAAGTGCAGCTTGGCGGCTCAGTGATAAAATGTGGAAACAAGGTTGAAGCGCCGTAGGGCATTAGGTCGGGGGGAAGATGAGGGTAACACCCCCCTTAAATGACCCTCTCTCACATCTTCACACAAAAGAAACTGGCTCCTCTTTTTTGGATTCTTTTAATTAACACTTGCATTGAGGTTCGAGGTATTCAAGGGCTGATACAGGGAAAGAATTTTCTCCCTCTCTTACCCCCACCTATCCTGTGCCTCTTCCCTTCAACCTTTTTTCCCCTCCCTGCTCTTCTTCTTCTCTTTCTTTGCCACCCTCCCTATTCCCTCTCTGTTTCTTTTTTTTTTCTACTTTTCTAGAGTAGGCAGTGTTTGGATTAGATGTCTGGCTGTGAGTGTGAGATAATTACCACTGACAGCTGCACTGAAGGCAACCACAATCACTGCAAACCAAACCACCTCACACCAGCATGTGAGTTACAGAGCAAAGGGAGAACAGAGACAGACGAGGAGGAGACGAAATGAGTTTGTAGAGAGTAAGAAAAGAAGAAAAACAAGGCTGAAAAATACCCCTCTCACTGACAGGAAGATACAAAGCAAAAAGAAGGTGGAGAGAGCGACCTTTGTGCTGCAGGCCATTTGCACATGAAAGTTAAAAATGTATGACTTTTAAATTAGGGGTAAAAAAAAAATAAATAGTACTCCAGTTAATTTTTATCTATCTAAAATCAGACATTTTCTGCCTTAGAACTCAATTCAAGTAAGTTGTCTTGTATTAATTCAAAAGAAAAATTCAAAATTGCTGTAACTCATCATCTTATTTTCTTCAGAGTTGTTG